ACTTGCGAACTCAAGGACGCCCCCTCCATCCGTCTCATATTAACTTTTATATATATATATATATATATATATGTATGTATACACACGCGACCTGCAACGGTATAACCTTTAGACATAACTGGAGAAAATTGAGTTACTTCGGGCACGTTTCAGATTGATTCCCAGGTAGCGGGGCCCTATATCTTTGTGCAGGCGGAGAGAGCGGAGCGTGATTGGTTTTCAATCCGTTCTACGTGGATCGAATGATCATTCAGCTGGAGCTCCATGTCGGTTAAACCCTCTTACGATATCCTTCTTTGTGTGCGATAATTTGATCCCGCTGTGGGATACATTGTTACCGATTCCAGATCTCCCGTTTCCTCCTCGCCGCGAGCATGCGATAGGATAAAATCTTGTCTATCTCGGCAACTAAGTGCAGTCGGTCGGCTATTTTCATTTTCGGGTTTTGCAGCCCGACATATCGATCTCCGATAATCGGGCACTACTTGCAGCGTATGCACGCGGAGTGCACGTAGCGTGGCAACTCGAACGGCGAGACGCGAAATTCCGTGGGCTGCGCGACGCGCGACGAGGCTCATCGCTTCGCTGATAAATCTGAGAAAGCGCGTCGGCCGATTTCTTTCGAAGACTACGACGCAAATACACCGTGTGCGTATTGTCGCCGCGCAATCCACTTATCGCCGCGGCGTCTGTGCGACGCAATCTCATTAGAGAGAGAGGAGACACCAGACAAAGGCGCGCAAAATTGCAAAACAAAACGCCGCGGACGACGGCGACGGCGACGGCGACGCCTATGGATTTTTCAGCTTCGTAATTAACAATAAAATGTATTAAAACCGTCCGGGTAATAAATTATGTAACGGACGATTCCTGTAATTTGATTATTACGACGTCCATCAGGCGGAGTGACGGCATTAACGGATAAATGTCCCGGGCTATAAAAATTTAATGTCCGTCGAGATCTGAATACTCGTGAGATTGCTTTTCTCTTGAGCGAATTTGAGGGGATTTTATGCATTTATCATCATTCCTGCTTTGACGCTTCTCGTTACGCGGGCAATAGATTAAATTCTCAACTCGTTTGTCTCGCGGCGCAGCGTCGAAATAATTCAGGTTTGCGACTCATCGAGACGGCGAGTCCGACCCGCCGAGGCGTCCGTCGTCTAGTAATTCGCGACTGGAGTTCCGTCTAGAGAGCCTCGTAGGAAAAGAGTGGCAAACTACTGATCACGTGACCAGGTCTCTGCTCTGATTCGATGGAGGCACAAAGTCTTCTCGATCAATCAGAATATCGATACAGCAAGACGACAGATTGGTTTTACAGTGAGTTTTAAAAGCGGTCTTTAAAAGGCACTTTATACTATGCACAAGACACAAAATTGTGTAAATAATACCAAGGGTGTCCCAAAATTCACGCAAGAAGTAATCTTGAGAGAAAACACACAGGTTTATGATTAAAAATTGTAAATTTTTTATTGATTCATAAAGTATACGGTATAGGGTTATGTATGGAATAGCATATCGGGTAAACGGCCACAGCGAAGAGAGTTCGTTGAATGGATTATGGAACAACAACAAGTGGATGCTGATTTTTCGAAGAACATCATCTTCGGCGATGAGGCTCATTTTCATCTTGATGGTGTGGTTAATCGACAAAATTGTCGCGTTTGGGGTTCAGAAAATCCACGAGTGATTGTTGAGAAACAAATGCATCCACAACGTGTCACTGTTTGGTACGGATTTTGGGCCGGAGGCATCATCGGACCATTCTTCGGAAGAAAATGCGGCTGGTCAGACAATAACAGTTAATGGTGCTCGCTATCGCGACATGATAATCCAGTTTTTTGTGCCTAAATTGCAAGATATGGATGTGGACGACATGTGGACATTCAACAAGACGGTGCCACATGCCATACAGCCCGAGAAACAATTCAATTACTGCATGAGTCATTTCCTGGTCGTCTAATTTCCCGTTTTGATGATCAGATCAGGCCGCCCAGATCATGCGGTTTAACGCCGTTGGACTTTTTTGAAGTCTAAGGTTTATGCCAACAAGCCCACGACAACACCCACGCCTTGAAGGAGGAAATTGAGCGCTGTATCAACGAAATTCAGCCACATTTATGCAAAACGGTCGTGGAAAATTTCAACAAAAGAGTGCGTATGTGCCAGCGAAGCTGGTGGGGAGGCCATTTACCCGATATGCTATTCCATACATAACCCTATACTTTATGAATCAATAAAAAATTTACAATTTTTAATTGTGAACCTGTGTTCTCTATCAAAATTATTTCTTGCGTGAATCTTGGGACACCCTTTATATTACGATTCTTATTCTGTACGTAAATCGAAGCGACAAATATTCTTTCACAATTAATACTTATTACTTACGGATATCTGATTCTTATCTGATATTGCTGTTATTAATTCGTAGGCGAATATCTTGTGCGACTCGTCGTAACCTCCTCTAATGATTGACGGATGTACGTCAGACTGCTTTAAAAACTCACTGTAAAGCCAACCTGTCGTCTTGCTACATCGATATTCTAATTGGTCAAGAAGACTTTGCGCCTCCATCGAATCAACAGAGACCTGGTCGCGTGATCAGTTTGCCACTCTCTTCCTATGAGGCTCTCCAGTTCCGTCGTATCCGGAAATGAAAAGACAAGAAAAGAAAATTTGCCTCGAGGCGCCTCACGATCTGCGATACCGCGGCGCGGCGCGGACGAGAGCGCATCGTGTTTACATTTTCCCCCCGCGCGCCGCGCTGACTTTGCGCTGGCCAGCTCCCGATTAAAAATAGCAGTTAATTACCGGGCACCGCGTTGGTTAACCTTACGCTTAACAACGTCGTTATTAACGTTCAACGTTAACAGCGACATTGATTCCGTTTCATCGGAGTCGCTTCGAAAACGCTCTCCGTGTGTCGTGCGTGTGCGCGAATACGATTTCCCACCGTAGTTTTCGATAGGTGCTTTGATGTCTTTTTTTCTCGGCGCCGCCGCCTGCCGCCGCCGCCGCTCGAGGCTGATGCACCATTAATTGTACTCGTTTGCGAACTTTCAGCCAGTTGTGGCCCGTTAATTGACGCGATCAATCCGCGTTGCGTAGTTCCTCGCCGCCGCCGCCGCCGCCTGTACTCCTCTGATTGCCGAAGTTTGAGTCGTTAAAAAAGAATTCGGAGACGCGGCAGGGGAAATAACGTCGCGTGATATTTCATCGTTTACCGTTACCCCAGCGCTCGCTCGCAGCCTCTCCACTCCTCTGCTCCTCTCAGTTTGCCGCTGCCTCGTCGGGGAACGACGAGTGAAAATATGCCGTGTGAAAAAGAGAAACGCGAGCGAACGAGCGGGCGAGCAAAAACGGGAACGGCCGCAACGGTCACTTTGACACGTTTCCAGCTCGTAACGACGCGACGCGACGGGACGGCATCGTCCGAAGCGTAACTTATCATAATGTATTACCGTCCGCTAATGAAGATTTGTGACAGCCGCAAATGTCGCTCGCGCCGCTCGTGGATCGCCGGTGAATGACGCGCGTTAACGAGTTGCGTGTCAAAAAGAGACATACTACCGTGTCCCGGCGAAAATAATAACGCGATAGACGGGACACGCGCCTCGACTGAATAATTTCAGGTATTTCGGAGATTCCAAACAGATCAGGTTACATACGACCGCAGTTTTACAGCACCGACGTCTCTCAACGTCTGATACAAGCCCAGAGAGCTCCTACTCTGCACGCGTACGCGAAAGTGTCAGGTAACCCGATTTCATTCCAAGTTTTTCGTATACGTATACGAGGGAAACTTCACTGATAGAAAAATATAGTTGAATTAACTATAATCTCACTATATTTTTTGGTTCATTTTGGCGTCAACCATATTTCTATAGCTCGTGGAACCTGCAAAATATAGTAGAATAAACACAAATATATAATCAATGATTGTCTTAAATAATTGTCCAGTTACTTTTACCACATATATGGTAATTTCTCATTCATTCATCTCAATATAGTGAGATTTAATATTCATATAATTACATCTGTCATCATTTAGCGAATATTCTGGTAATATTGACTGCATAAAAGAGTTACTTTACCTACCATTTTATGGATTTGTATCCATACAATAATTTTAGTTTAACTTACTGTAATTCTTAGTAAAAATATTATATGGTTGGTTACACTATGCCTATACCTCGTAATTATTATACCGATATTATGGTAATACTTATTATAAATATGATATTTCGGACTATAATTTAGTTACTATATCATTATAGTTTCAAATATCATATACTTTTCTCTCAGTGTTGGATTAAAGAGAAAGAAAAGAAACATTTTTAACTCTCGCATATGCAATGAGAGAAAAGTATATGATATTTGGAACTATAATGATGTAGTAACTAAATTATAGTCCGAAATATCATATTTAGCGTAAGTATTACCATAATATCGGTAATAATTACGACATAGGTATAGTATAGCATATCAAGCATATAATATTCTTACTAAGAATTATAGTTAAGTTAAACTAAAATTATTGTATGGATACAAATCCATAAAATGGTAGGTAAAGTAACTCTTTTATACAGTCAATATTACCAGAATATTTGCTAAATGATGAAACAGATGTAGCTATATGAATATTAAATCTCACTAGATTTGTGAATGAGAAATTACCATATATGTGGTAAAAGTAACTAAACAATGATTTAAGACAATCATTGACTATATATTTGTGTTTATTCTACTATATTTTGCAGGTTCGACGAACTATACAAATATGGTTGACGCCAAAATGAACTATAAAATATAGTGAGATTATAGTTAATTCAACTATATTTCTCTATCAGTGTGCACACCCAGAGTAGCTCATGAATCGAGTAGGACCCCGGCGATGCGACGATGTCGCAAGTGCGGTCTTTCGTTGGGCGCTCGTTTACTTTCTCACGTACTTAGTCGTATTTATATCGATGTCGAGAAACAATAAGTGTACTCACTGTATCCACCCACGTAGATCGGCGTCCACGTCACTTGAGTGTAGGCCAAGGGTGTCGCAGCGAATAGCACGGCACTAAACCACACGGCCCGGCGTACCGCACTCATTTCACTGGCGGCCTCGATAGTCACCATTTTCTCTCCTTTCTCAATCAGTCCTCCGCCTCGATATCATCTTCCCGGGCATATCTCGCTACGCTACTCCGTCCGGCTTCTGTCCGCCACGCTGCTCTCGCTCTCTCTCTCTCTCGCTCTCGACTCGTCGTCCCTTTGCCTCGGCGACTCCTTCGCGCTTCCTCTCCGCCCTTTTTCCCGTTTTCCACCTCCGGTCCGAGGACGCGCGCGCGACAATACGTCACAATCGGCGAATATCTACGGAATCGGACGAAACTGTCGATACTTCGCGGCGATATCGTTTTGTCTCGTCGCACGTCTAACCGCCGGCAATTTTGCAGCATCGCGACGCGAGATCGACCGGGGAGGGTCGCTCGAAGGAAATTATGAGGATACGTGACATCACACGTCGTACGCACAACATTCGAATTTCATCATCGGGGCGATCTTCCATCTCGCGTTTCGAGCGAAGGATCGTGGAGCGCGCGCGCGCGCGCGCGGGCTTTCGAGGAAGTCGAGCTGCCGGCGGCGGAAATCAGCCGCGGAAATCCGACGGGTGATGTCTGGATGTGTTAATGACGGTACGGAAAAATGAATGTATCGCGAAGAGTGCGGTATGTCTCTGTGTGTGTTTTTTACTCGCGATTGATCAATCCGTTCCGAGCTTTACAGTCATGGTCGAATGCGCCAATGCGCGTACAATTGATTCGCGAAACGGAGAGATTAATTAATTAAGTGCGCTCACGCATCTCCGCTTTAATTGGTGCTCGACGCGGGCTTAAATCACGCGTGTTTGCATTGCCGTGCGCGATAAATATGGAGATTTTATGCGGCCGTAGGAGAGGCCGGGGGGAGGAGGAAAAGGACGGAGAGAAGGAAAGGCGATGACACCGAGCAGCCGAGTTGTTTATCAGACGCGCTTTCTCTCTCTCTCTCTCTCTCTCTCTCTCTCCTCCCCTCCCTCTCTTTCCGCGTCATCGGCCGCGAGCTTTATGTCACGTAAAATTTTCGGTTCCCGCGCCGCCGTTATTCCTTCAGCCGGAGACAGAATCTTCATTTCTACGCGTGCGAATCCTGATTTATGTATCCTATACTTCACGCGCGCGTTCCTCCTCCTCGAAACGTATTACTCCGCTCCTTCGGGTATAACATGAAGACACAATCATCGCTCCCAGCGACGGCGATCGCGAGAGTAACGATGTCCCTACTCTTTTTCCCCACGCCCTCCCTCGCCCTGCCGTGTCTTTTTTACAACCGTAACATGTGCGGGACCATTTCCACCATTTTCCGTCTTCTTTCTCTCTATCTGCGGCACTCCGCTAGCCGTGTCTATCTCTCTCGTTTTCTCTCTCTCTCTCTCTCTCTTTCTTTTTCTCGCTCCCTGGCGACCCCCGTGTAGACTTTTATCCGTCTTCCGCTAAATCCTCTAGCGGCTTTGCCCAGATCAAAAAGCCTTTTTCCGCGGACACGGGATCTCGT